TATAATGTAGCATGAAGTGTTAATAGCTTCTGCCCATAAATATCTAAGCAGATTATCATCACACAACACAATTCTAGTCATTTCCTCTAGGGTTTTATTTTTCCTTTCAACTACACCATTTTGTTGTGAAGTTCTAGAGGCTAAAAAGTAATGACCATAACCATTTTCATCACAAAGTTGTTCAAAACCTAAGTTTTCAAATTCTTTACGATGGTCACTTTTAACATTTGCAATCGCATATTCTTTCTCATTTTCAAGTCTCTTGCAAAATTATGTAAAGCCTTTTAAAGCTTCATCTTTATGTGCAAGGAAATAAACCCAAGTAAACCTAGTATAGTCATTTGCAATTACTAAGCCATAACTTTTTCCGCCTAAGCTAGCAATCCTAGTTGGGCTAAAAAGGTCAATGTGAATAAGTTGTAATGCCCTAATGGTGATTACATCTCTCTTAGGTTTAAATGAGCTTCTCTTATGTTTTCCTTTAGCACAAACATCACAAAGTTAATTATTTTCAAATTTTAACTTGAAAAGTCCTATAACAAGATCTAAAGATGATAATTTTGAAAGTGTGTATTTACTAGCATGTCTAAGTTTTCTATGCTACAACTAAGTATGCTCATTCTTTCCAGCCATGAAACAAACATTATTTGAATGAAAATCTTCTAAGTAAACAACATATGTATTAGCTTGTCTATGACCAACAAAAAGAATTTCATATGTTTTAATATCTACATATACAACATGACAAATCAAAGATTCAAAAATAACTCTAAGACCTCTATCACAAAGTTGGCTAACACTCAACATATTGTGCTTGACACCATTCACGAATAAGACATTTTCAATTTGAGAGAAGGTGGTTTTACCAATTGTACCAATATCTTCAATGTGACCTTTTGAGTTATCACTAAAAGTTATATTACCTCCCTTTCTTTGGCCTCAATTCTTTAAATGATTCTTTGCTACCGATCATATATCTAGAGCATCCACTATCAAGATACGATTTTCCTTTTTGTTGTGCTCTTGACTTCGAGCACGTGTGCTCCTCTTAGAAAAAAAATTCAAACTTTTGATTTTGGTATTAGGTCCTTTGAGTTAGTCACTTTGGTTCTTTTTGGAACTCACTCTAGTTTTACCACTTTACTAAGTGGGGCTTTGGTTCCTTTTGAAACCCATGCATACTTCACAACTTTGCTTTTTTGTGAAACAATTCTTGGAGGACAAGATAAAGTAAAGTGACCTAGCTTAAGACAACAAGTGCATGTAGATGTGCCATCATAGTTTTCACTCTCTTTAACAAAAAAATTCTTAAGATGTGTTTCTTTTTGTGTGTGATTTTAACCCAAGCCTTCTTTGTCAAAAAAGCTCTTTGTAGTTCCAACATATCAATCAATTTTTGTTGGCTTTTTTGAAACTTTAAGTAAGTGCCATGCAAGTTCTCATATTTCTTTTTCAACTCAATCATTATATTTTGCATGCTTTTCACAATGTTCTCTAGCTTAATCTTAGTCTTTACTAAAGTCTCATTTTCTACCTTAAGCTTTGTTATGATGCCTTTTTATTTCAAAGTCTTTCCTTCAAATTCAAATATTAGGTCATTATATGCATCTTGCAACTTATCAAAAGAATAATCATTTTCATCAGGAGTATATGAATCAAGATTATAGAGAGTAAGATATGCCTTATAGTCATCAAGTGCCATAAAACAAAGATTAGCAACCTCATCATCTTTCTTATCTATAGAGACATCACTATCATTCCAAGTAGCCAATATTGCCTTTTGCTTGAAGTTTCTTGAAGTGTTTTTCTTGTTTGGCACTCATATTTGGTGTGTCCTAGACTTCTTAATATCATAACATATCAAATGCCTTTTATATGCTCTCCCTTAGGCATATCCTTCTTTTAAGGTCTTTTACTTTTATAGTTTTTCTTCAAAAACCTATTAAACTTCATTTTTAGCATAACCATGTCCTCCTCATTTTTACTTTCCCTCTTTGTGCTTTTCTTTTCCTTTTCAACTATAGACTTCTATTCCCTTTTTCCTAGTGTCTTCCTTCTTGGGTTCCTTTCTCTCATTTTCATGTTTCAAGGTCATCTCATAGGTGAGTAAGAATTCTACTACCTTATCTAACTTAAAGTTGTTGAGGTTTCTAGGTTCCTCTATAGCTGTTACTTTGGGTCTCCAAGATTTTGGCAAGTTATAAAGTATTTTCTTTACAAGTTAAGCATTTGGAAAGTCTTTCCTTAAGGCTTTCAAACCTTTAACAATGTTGGTGAATCTTTCAACATCTCATAGATGGATTCACCTCCCCTTATTCTAAATAGTTCATAGTCATGTGTAAACAATCCAATCTTCAATTCCTTAACATGGTTGGTTCCCTATAGGTACTCTATAAGATATCCCAAATTTCTTTGCATTCTCACACAAACACTTTGTTGAATTCACTAGCACCTAGGGAGCAAAGAAGAGAGTTATAAGTTCTGCAATTAATGTGAACCAATTTCTTATCTTTATCATCCCACTTCTCTTAGTCTTAGGAATTATTTCACCATCAACTTCCTTATAAGGCACATACAGACCATTTAAAGTTAACATTCCAAACTTCTCAATCCATAGACTAGATAAACATTTTCGTTCTCTTTTTCCAATAAAGATAGTTTGTACCTACAAAAAAGTAAGGCCTTTGGATAGAATGCCCTTCACCAAGCATGGTTCTTGTAACCTCCATTTTGATGATTTGAGCTTTTACTACAAATCACATTAGATTGTTAGACTTGCAAAATTGAGCCGTTACTCTAATATCAATTTTTAGTGTAGTAAGCTCAATGCAAAAAAGACTAAGAAGGGGGCGATTTGTTATTAGGCTAAAGACACCCTAGACCTTTCAAAAACCAATTTGTTACTTGTGTTGAAAAACAAACTAAATGATTTTCTTAAATAGATTTCCAGCTATAAATCATAAGGCTAAAATAACAATTAAGACACAAATATTTTTATAAAAATTTAGCTTTCTCAAATGCTTACGTCATCTCCCTTGGTGTCCAAGGAATTTCAAATTCACTAAAGAAAGTGCTTTTTAACTAGATCAAGCAAAACCCTCACAAGTGTTTTTTAACAAGATCAAGCAAAACCCTCACAATCGCTTTTTTCCGAGCTCAAGCACAACTGTCACAATTTACCTTTTAAAGGGAGCAGGCACAACCCTCACTAAGTTTTCAAAGTTAAGTTAGAACCTTTACAACTTTAGGTATGAAGTAATAGCAATGAATGCCTCTCAAAGGTTGGTAAGTTAAGTGTTTAAGCTTTGAATGAAATGGATTCAAGACTGTCAACTCAATGAAAATCAGTGAATGGTTTTGAAAGCTTGAAGGAGGACTAAAAGTTGTGTGCTAGAGAGGAATAAAGATCTTGAAGCTTTCTCTTAGATTTGAATGATTTTCTTTGTCTTTTCTTGCTTTTAAATGAGTGTAAAGCCTCCTTTTATACTCACAAGTGATGATATAGACTTTAGACACAAGATTCAATCATTTGTAACCATCTTTGAGCATCTATTGTCAAGTATGGAGCCTTTATAGTTGACTATGTCTCTTCAAAATCTTGAATTAGGCCTTTTATTATCGAATATAAGAGTCCTCTAGTCAATCCTTTACTCGAGAGCTCGTCATTTAGAATTTTCGCCTTCTATAGTCGACTAGGCCTCTCTCTATAGTTAACTAGGGCTTTGTTTCTTCAAGACTCTCATCCATTACCATGTAGTCGATTGTGCTTCCATTTCAATATTTTCATGTATTCTACCATAAGATCAACTAGGCAAGCTTTGCAGTCGACTGGTGCTTTCATTTTCTCAACATTTAAGCATGTATACGCAGCTTTGTCTTCCTTGTAGTCGAATATTGAGTTGAGAAATATTTGCTCTTTGTTTCCTCAAGTTGAAAACTCAATGTTCGAAAGTTCTATAATGTTTTCTAAGATTGAATGACTTTTCAGACATGTTCTAAGACTTTAGGAGGTTGAAATCATGAATTGAATTGTTTCAAATGCTTATGATCAAATTTAAGACATCATGCAATTTTCTCAAATCAAAACATAAGTTATTTCCAGGTTAGCAGACTTGGTGCATTTGTCACCAATTGGTGTTCCTTGGTGTTCTTTTGGTTTCTTTTTGAGAAAAGAAAGATTTGATTCTCTCCCTATAGCACTAGGTTCCTTAAGCATAAACAACTCCAATCTCCTTTATAATTATTCACAATTGTCAGTCATATAAATCACCATTAGACACTAAACGCTTAAATAACTTATGGTTTTCTATAACCCAACTTGGTGAAGAGGATTGAAAATTGTGCTGAACTGAATGTATGCTCACCTCTAGATAGAACTTTTAAAAGTCTACTATTCTCTACACTATCCAGTTTTCCTCTAAAACTTTCTACTATCTGGCTTGCCTAGCACCTTGGCCTGCTTGGTATTCTAAAGCCTTCTTGGTCAGTTCTACCATTCTCATTCTTAACATACTGTCTTGCATCCTGAACTCAGGTTAATTCACTCTCCAATCCAATTCCACAGATGCCCTTAACTCAGGTGAGTTGACTCTCCAATCTGCTGCCACTTCGACAGACACTTCTATCCTACTAGTAACTCATTTGGGATCAAACCTACTTCCACTTCGACAGACACTTCTGTCCTACTTGTAACTCATTTGGTATCAAACCTAAACACAATCTGTAACACAAACTAACTTAACTCGTTTTAATATATTCTTCTTTTTTAAGATAACCTCATTTCAGTGTACTCTAACAAGGCACAAAATGTGCTTCTAATTTTACCTAGCAATATAAGAAATATCATTTCTCCAAAAATGATAACTGAAATATAGGAACCAAATCCATAAGCTTACCGTATTGATAAATATCTAGCCCTTTAGGATGGAACTCATTCTAATGTAACCATCCTTAGACAAGGCAAACCATGCATATTCATTATGTCACCAGATAAAGCATAATTGAACAAGATAATTTCTCTCAGATACTAATTGTATTTTTCTTGTTTCTTACATAATCTAAAACCAGACAGAACATCAGCGACATAACTGAGAGATCTTACGCCTGTCTCAGCCCGATGGCCAATAGCAACCATGTACCAAATACCGTCAGACAACCTATCACTTGACCCAACAAAAATTCAGGGTGAATAGGAAAGACACCTAGATCTTTGTTCAGTTTTTCAAACATAAGACTTAGCAGTTTGCGATTTGACTGCAGAGAGTTATCAGGGCCATTCGCATCTCCAAACCATTTGAATATCAACAGCACGTGGCAAGAGTCTGCAATCTTCCTCCAAGGGGTCATCAGACTTGCAAAGTTAAAAAGTCTTCAGAAAAATCATCTTCCCGCACCCAAACTCTTCATTTCATGAAGCTGCTTTGTTCAAGTGCATATCAACACTCTTCACTTCATGGAGTTCTTTTGATCAAGTGCAAATCAGCACCATTAACAAGGAAGAACAAGCCATAATCACAAAATGAGAAATATCATCACTATTGCTTCAGATTTTTTATGACTTGAGTTTCATTTTGCCTGGCAAACAAGCAGACATAACAGATGTACTCAAATTATTTCAAACTGATTGAACCAAGGGAAGACAGAGAACAGGCCATACAGAATCATTACCTCTTATAAGAATGTGAATAATATAAGCAGTACATTCAAACTTCTGCACTTCATCCGCTGGAAGACATGCCTTCCTCAATTTTCCTAATTACAACACTAAGACTGCCACCACTTTCCATAGCTTTGACAGCAGCTCGATGAGCATGCCTATGCCATTTAAGCAGATTGTAGGACTGTAGTACTGACCACCTTGCTTGATTTGACATCTTCTCAAAGGTAATGAGAATCCCAATCAATGTATATCAAAAGAAGAATATCATAAATAACATATAAACTCAGAGCAGTACCTGCGCTACAGAGAGTGGCGGTTGCAGAAGGACACAGATGCTTCTAAACAGGTTTTCATCATTCTCCCCACCCTCAGCCTCACCATAAACAAGAGCTTCAGCTGCAATGCCAGCAAAAAGTACCATGCAGTATCTGACCAAATCATACACCATCATAACTACTTCAACCTTAGGCCTTCTTTAAGAACTTAATAATAATAAATAAATAAAATAAGATATTATTGCATGTGCTGATACAGATAATGACATTACAGCCTGTCATATGGAGGTGCCCAAGCACAGAATTTAAGGTCATGGATAATCTAAGTGAATTTGGTTGTGAAACCATAACTTAAAATAGAGAGCTAGTTTGGTTTCTATAAAATAAAATAATGCTTTCCGAAGGTCTCATCAAGAAGGAGCAATGGGGTTAAAGTTCACCACATAAACTGGAAAAAAAAAAAACACTTCATACCAACCTGTCAAAGGTGGAAGCACTCAATTGTCCTTCTGCCATTTCATTATTCATTTTGTCATCCCAAAACTGAGTTCCAGCCTGTAGCAAAGTGCAGAATTTGAGTTCTTATCATTCCAATAAACCTTAAGTACATCGAGCCAAAACAATCTGATTCATTAAAACACCATATACAGAAAGACAAGAGGGACTATAAAGGCAGTTTATCATTCAGGAGCCACTGTCTGGTGAAAGGCTAAAAAACAGAAGACCACATATTTGAGTGAAGGCCACCAGCCTCCAGCTTCAGTTCATGTAAAAAATATCAAGTGATAGTATCCAGCTCCCACTCACAACTCTGGCTTCCTGGAGACCAATTAAAATGGGATTTTTATTTTTATTTTTATTTTTTAAAGAGCGATAACTATTACATAATTCAAGATAATTTGGAAGACAAATTAAAATGGGAGAAGAATTTGAGATTGAACAAGTACAAACAAATTCAAACATGATGGAAGAATCTCAACAAACAATATCAACTTATTCACCATATAACATAAAAATGTAAGGCAACCAACTAATTTCTAGACTCGTTCCTTTGATATATTCATCTGATCTGACAGTGGAAAATAAAACGTCCAGGTCTTCGATCAGAAATCAAATTGACCTTTCCAGAATTAATATAAATTCGTTCCAAAGCTACAGAACCCACAAAATGAATCAGATAAGCCCTTATGTTAATACTCTTCAACAAACTGCCCCTAGAGGTAGTGAAAATTAATCACGTTACCATAAAGGAAACAGTGCACAATAGCAGGTTGCTAATATTAAGAGAAAATATACAACAGAGAAGAATAAGTCCAGAAAAAACAAATGATAACATAAATACCTGCCCTTGAATGCCCATTTGCATTGCAACAATTGGGTCTAAAATTACTCCACGAATAGGGCAACCCATAAGATATGCTGTGAATAAAATAACAAAGACATAATTATGCTGCTGACATCACAAAAGCAAATATTAAGAGCAATATTTCAGAACCAAATGAAATCTTGGTACTTGCTAAATGTGAGAAAAAAGCTTCCATGCTTGACAGCAAGACACCTACTGATAGACCAGACACAAAGATTCCACGTGCGAAAGCTCACATTCACTATTTTGTTTTGCATGCACAAGTTGCTATAACATCAAAAGCCAACAATTGATCACATACCTACCAGCACATGGCCTGCTTCATGAACAAGAATCCGTCGCCTATATGGAGGCCAATAACTTGAGAATTGAGCTAAACAAGTGCCACCAAGGAAGATCGAGTCTGTAAAGGCTAGCCCCAGTATGATAGCAAGTTGAGGCCTGACATCAATTCCTTGTTGAAGCAGATAGGACAGTCCACCAAGAAAAGCAGCCAATACAACACTTGAGCTTCCAGAAAGACCCCACTTCTTTGGAGAAAATTTAGAAGCTGAATAAGAGAAAGAAAAGTTTTATCAACAACTAATTTTAGTGGGATTCTCAAGGTCAAAAATATTTTAATGGGATTCTTTCTTCATATGTTTCGCAATGTGCCAAATATGAGTACAACTTTAGCTTGTAGGGATATCTATATGAAAGCACCAGAAACGAATAGTGAGATATATACATTCCCTTATTATGTAGGTGCAAATTCAGTCAAATCAATAGGTCAGTTCATATGGAGCAAATTAGACCAATTCAGAAAATTAATATGAATATACCTTCTAGGCCAGTTGAAGACTTCAACACGGTTGGTGTAACATTCCTAGTCCCCTCCAAAACTGCAGAATGTGAACATGGGATAACAATTTAGGGACCATCTTAGCTATTTGGAAGTACAACTATTTTTAATTATTAAAGATAAATATATCTTTATAATGTAGTAAAAGCAGGGGGGCTAGAAGGGGAAGGAATGTCTTACGAGGCTGTTGTTAGTCCTGGTCACAGAAGGATGTATTTGGGATAATATTGCTCACATATTATTGGTAAAGACATGTCCATTAAAGTACTATTGCAAATAACAATGAGAACTAGTGCATCCTCACAAAGAACTAAGAAATATAAGAAAAGAAGAAACAGCTCAGAACAATATTTAAATATACATCAACATCTCATAACAACAACCACAGCATTAAGCTTGCACTTTGCTCTTAGTCAAGCATGAAAAAACTGCTTATTGGAAAGAACAGTAGGTTTGCAATAATATAAGCAGCATAAATATTAGCCCACACAATCACCAGCATCACTGAATGAACGTTCATAAAACATAGTCAGCTTTAGAAGGCTCATATAAGACATTGCTCTTTAGAAACCTAGAACCAGGCAGTGATTGGACAACCAAGCAAACAAATACATCGCAAGAAACTAGCTTTTCACTATTAAATATATAAAGCATATAACCTTGTTCTCTTTGTTATTCATTCATAAAATAATGGGCCATATATCAATATGACCCAGATGTAACTAAAAATGTTTTATATTAATAATACTTAACTTTCCATACACAATATAAGTCACCAAACTCAAGGAGAAATCAAACTGTCTCAAATATAATGGATAATATTGGTTCAATGATGCTGCTCACTCTTATGCTATGAAATTTGACCATTTCCCTTCAAATCATCGACCTAAAAACATGTTTGAAAAAGGATTAACTGAATTCATCCTAGTATATTTTCATCTAAATAGCATTTAAGGTAACAATTTAAATTCTCAAACCTTTAGCAAAAAAGCCCATATTAAAAAATCATCTATCTTCAGGAAGACTGTGCTTCCAATTTGCATTGCAATAACATGTTTAACCATGTTACTAAAGATGAATCTGCTCCAGAGTTATGGGTAAAGTTGGAGAAGATTTACTTGGCCAAAATCTTTTCAACAAGTAATAGCTTAGGCGAATATTATGTCACTTATAGATGGAGGAGAATAGAGACCTTGTAAAGCATATAAACGAGTACGACAGGATCATTGATCAGCCGAAAAAGGTTGACATGAAGTTCAAAGAAGAGGACAAAGCACTATTATTCCTCAAATCATTTCCAAACTCTCATGAGGTATTTGCAAAATCTCTAATTTATGAAAATGATATAATAATATTATAGCAAACATAAGCAACAATAATGTCCCATAAAACTCGAAAGAAAAATAAGGAAGATATAGATTCAGTTGACTCGACGGTTGAGGTTTCGGTGGAGCAAGTCAACCAACTAGGGAATCTAGGGATGGCAAGTTTGGATCTGGAAAAGATCAATGCTTTCAATGTAAATGGTATGGACATATATAGATGGATTATCCTATGAAAGGGGATCAAAGTAATGGAAATAAGGTGAGTGTGTTTTTCTTACCAACAATGATACTGTCTTTGCAATCTCAAAAACCATAGATGCAAATTATAACAATGTTTGTTATCTAAATTCTGCTTGTGTCACTCATGTATACTCCAAAAAGAATTATTTTGATTTGCTTCAAGAATGGGTGGTGTAACTTATGTCCCAAAGATGTGAAGAAGTCTAACACCTATGAGTCTATTAGATTCAAAAAGGTATGAATTTTCTGCTAATGATGGAGTGGTAAAAATTGAACAAGACAACACGGTCATGATGAGAGAGAACTTGCAAAATAGTTAGTACTGTCTAGAAGATAAAAACTCGAAGGGATGGGAACAGTGCATAAGTGATGGTACCTACTGCAATACGGTTTCATTAACTGAGCAAGTGATGAAAGGTTCCTATGGTATAGACAATCATGAAAGGATGAAAAATTTTCCCTCTCTGAAGTCAATTAGTGCCATTCACTTGACAACTACATATGTTCATTGGTCATTTATGGAATCAAGCATTAGACCATGCTTGATTCGTTATATCTAATGGAACTAGTTTTGAAAGCTCAATAGTTTAAAAAGTCTTATGCTTGGAGAGTTGTTGAAGGTGTTGAAAAGTAGGTAGAGTTAGCTAAAGAGTTACAATTAGGTGCAACTGGTAAAAGAAATTTAAGGAGTTTCTATTCAAGTATTTGTTGAGTTTACTAGAATTTGGAATCTTATTTGACCAGGACTCTAATTTGTGTACACCATTCAGTAACTCTACCGCTTTAAACTTCTTGTTCCACATTGAGTCTTAATCTTATTTCACTTTGGACTTTTCTATTATAAAATTGAGTCTCTAGGCTTTTGAAGAACAAGTAATGCTTTGGGAGCCCTAAGGAAGGGTACACCTTGTGACTCTGTCTTCTACTTTCAATGGAGCTAGAGTAGGTTTGACTAAGTGTACTCATAAGGAGCTAGAGTAAGTGTGACTAAGTGTTCTTGTTAGGCTATTAAGAGAAGATATGTACAAGGGGTCTCTAAGTTGGCTTGAAAAACCATTGAAAAAGATTAAATCGTACTTTAATTTATTAATAGTAGAAAAACTATATTACTTGTGAATGTAGGCAAAAAGTCAAGCCACTTAAATTCTTACGTTTTTTCTATTTGTTATATTTCTTTAAATTTTATCTTTGTTGTGTCTAGGACAATTTTCATAACAATCTAGAACAAAATATATTTGTAATTTTCAGGCAATCATGTCTATATCTACCATTTCCATACGTTTCTTCAGGTTATTTTATTATATGTTCCACCTTTTCTACTTGAACCAAGACATAATACCAAGCACTTTCAAGCACAACTGTGCAAACTATTTCGAATGACATTTCTTTATATCACAATGGGTACCCCTTTTATTCTTTTGTGAATCAAGAAATATCCGATCTTTGAATCACTAGTCCTTTTATTGCCACATTTTCATCACAGAGTTCACATTTTTCTTTGCATTTTATGAACACTTCTTTTACCTAGCTCATCAAAATAACTTGTTGCTTTTGTATTGAAAGGCATATTTTTGCTTTTCAAAAGTAAGAAGTACAGTACCAATGAAACAATGCCTTAATTAGTACTAAAATTACAAAAGCATAAGACCTTTTTTTTTCCTTTTTTATATTCTGGCACGTAGGAGCAAATATTCAAGCATGCAATTATATTATCAACTGCATAGCAAGAATTAAAAAGCACTAAGAAGAAAACGCAGCACCAAGCAATCTAACAAATTTAAGATAGCATATTATCAAATAAGCATCCAAAAAATTTTCCAAAATAAAACATAGCAATAATAATACTAATAACAACAATAATAAATTTTTTGCAAGAATAGAAAAATAATTATTTACCAAGGCTACTGAACCTTCCAAAACTGGGCAAGAACCCTTTGTCCTTAAGGAACTCGTAAGCAATGCCTACAAGCCTCATATCATCAGCATTAAGGCACGTGTCCAACACCTCCCAATCCCTCACTGACCCACCAACAAAACCCAACTCGCCGAGTCGTGACCGAGTCGAGTCAGTCGACAAGGAGCCATTTCCCTCAACTGGGTTGTCGCTGTTGTTCTTGTCGATGGATATGAGGAAGCTTAGAGCTGAGGCTAAGTCCTTCCGCTTCACTGCTTCCTCGTATTCTTGCCATTCCCTCAGAGCTCTTGGTGGGTGGTAGTGGAATTTTTTTAGTGGTGTTTGGAGGAAAAGAAAGGAAATTGGTTGAGGAAGAGAGAGAGGAAATGAACGGGAAGAGAGAAAATGAGGGAAAATTTTGGGTGATGACAAAGAAGAACAAGAAACAGAGAGAGCCATACGAAGCAAGAGAGATTAGTTCTCAGAGCCCTTTAACTAAAAATGCGAATAAAACAAAACAAGGCTCGTTAATGGTTAACAGATCGAAAATTAGTTATAAATAAAAGGAGAATAACAGCTCAAATGGAAGCCGATTAATCCTATATCCACCCGAGAACGAGATGGGCCTCTGTTAAAAAAGTAACCTATTTTTAGTATAAACATTTATGTATAAAAATACATATAAAAATTCATAAATTTGAAATAAACTTTTTTCAAATCTTGAGGTAAATATATGATATAAGTGTATAAGAATAAAGGTGAAAAGTAATATTAGACAAACTAAAATAAAAATTTAATTTTTTTTGTAAAAGATTTTAAGCTATTTTGTTTCCTCTCAAATTAGCTAACCCGAATATTTATATAAAAAAATTAAAATGGAAATGTTAAAAAGTAATAGTTTTTAAAGTTTAATGCAAATAGATATATGAATAAGGATAAAAATATATGAAATTGAAATAATTTTTTAAAAATATTGATGTAAATGTATAAAAATAAAAAATTGTATTAGACGAATTGAAAAAAGAATTTTTAATTTTCTTTTTTGTCTAAAGATATTAAAATAATTAATATCCTCTCAAGGTTTTTTTTTAAATATGTTTTATTGAAACAAAGTGCCAATAACCATTGGCTATCGGAAAGTTTGGTAAATAATAAAAAGACATAAACTCACGTAGGCTTGGCAAATTTTATAGTAAAGTCATCATTTTGACCTTACTGTAAGGTCAAATAATAAAGACCATCTGATTTATAGAATCAAATTGTAGTCATGGATTTAAAATTAATAAAGAAACCTGTAAACACATTCAACTAGTTATAAAAAATTAAAAAGTCCACGGAGATGAGGACTCTCTAATAAATATTGATAAGGATAAAAATAATTATTGTTAAAAGTTATCGTTGAAAAGACTTGACATAAAACTATAAGAATTAATTGATGTAAAAATTCATAAAAGTGAAATATGCAAATGTATATGTGAAAGTTAACGTAGCATGTCAATTAAGTAAAAAAATTTAATTTTTTTAGAAAATAAATATTTAAATTTATATTTTCGAATTAAAAGTATTTAGCAATTTACAATTTTAATTTAAAAATAAATAAAAATAAAGATAAAAATAATTAATGTTAAAATTTTTTATTAAAAAACTTGGACGTAAAACTATAAGAATTGACATAAAAACTCATAAAGGTTGAATAAGTAAATTTAAAATCTTAACGTATATGTGTAAAAGTTAACGTAACAGATCAATTAAGTCTTAAAATTCTAATTTTAATAATAAATAAAAATTTATATTTATATTATCAGGTTAAAAATATTTAACGATTTATATATTATAATTTAAAAATAAATAATCAAAAGAATTAAAATAATTATTGTTAAAAATTACCATTAAAAAGCATTGATATAAAGTTATAAGAATTGACTTAAAATTATAAGAATTGACGTAAAAACTCAAAAAGGTGTAACAAGCATACTTAAAATCTTAACTAAATGTGTGAGAGTTAACGTAACAGGTCAATTAAGTCATAATAATCTAATTTTAATAAAAAAATCATTTAAATTAATATTCTTAGGGTAAAAGTATTTAACCATTTATAAATTTTAATTTTAAAATAAATAATAACAAAGATAAAAATAATTATAGTTAAAAGTTGATATTGAAAAGCGTTTACATAAAACTCATAAAGGTGAAACAAGCATAAAGGTGAAACAAGCATATTTAGAATATTAACATAAATGTGTGGGAGTTAATGTAATAGGTCAATTAAGTCACATAAATTTAATTTTAACAAAAAATAAACATTTAAATTTATATTCATAGGCTAAAAGTATTTAACGATTTATAAATTTTTATTTAAAAATAAATAATAATAAGTATAAAAATAATTATTGTTAAAAGTTTTCATTGAAAAGCTTTGATGTAACATTGTAAGAATTGAGTTATTGTTAAGAATTAACGTAAAAATGTATAAACGTGGAGCAAGTACTGTCAAAATGATAATGTAAATGTATGAGATTTAACGTAACAAGTTATAATAATAATTTCGATTAAATTAAATTAGTTAGATATAATGTTAATATTGAAAAGAATAATATTCTTATATAAAAAATAAAATAACATTTAAAACAAAATAGATAAGTTTAGAAATTATTTATGTTGTTTACCTGCTAACCTGTTATACAAGTTTTTATTCTTTTCTTAAAATTATATTAATTGACTTTACAATAAGGTTAGACTTACTATAATGGTATCCCATAGGCCTAACATTTAGCTTGTGGGGATGTTTAAATGCATCTTTATGTGTGATTCCTACATAGTAGCTAGCTGTTCAGATTCACATTTCTATCCAACGCCTATTCCTTGTAATGTCTCCCTTGATTTTGTTTGTAATGTTCCTTGCTTTGTTGGCTTGATTTGTGGTTCTTTAAGGACTTCCCTCTAGCCTTGTTGAATCCTACTATAATTTCACCACTGCACCTGCATAATAAATTTAAAATTTCAATGTCATATAATTAATATGACATAATATTCAAATAAACTTTTAAACTATTTAAGAGAATTCAAATAAGCACTTATTCTTTTATTACCTTTAATCAAGCTCTTATACATTTATTTTGATCAAATAAGCTCTTATGACTAATGATTCACTAATTACTATTAGTCAAAATATCATTTATTATTTTATATCCACATGGCACTAACATGGTGTTGATATAGAAGATAAAAAATGTCACATGATCAAGTTATCATGCCAAATTACCATGTCACATTATTATCAATTATAATATGTCAATGTCGAGATCAGCCATACAGCCAATTGAGACTGGTCAAAGCTTAGTTCCAATTATGCAACGATATCATTCGTATTTAATGATTAGATGTTTTTTTTCATCAATATGACATTAATTATAATGTGTTATAAGTCCAATTGGATGAAATCCATGGGATTAATATGCCTTATAAGAGAATTATAATGGGTTACAGTTATGAGATTCCTATGCATCAAAGCAAAATATCAAAATATTCTTGATCAATATATCAGTAAGACTGAACATCAATGATGTTTAGAGACTAATACATTTTATGTTCCTTACTTTAGAAGTAAGCAATCGATCATATAAATTGAAGTATAGAGATACATGGAATTAAAATGTAAGTGCTTGCTTAAGAAAGCAAGTTCACTAAATATGACCCACCATGAGAACTATATTTGGTAATATACTCTAATGTCTATGCAACATTTCTTATGTGTGTTGACTCCATGAGTTTTTGATGATAACAAAACATTCTTATTCATTTATGTCTAACTATACTACTTGAGTGTGTAGGATAAAAATGTATGTCACTTAATGAAATAATCACTGGAAAGCAAACATCAAAACTCATCAGCATAAGGGGTCACAAAATTAGTTACAAACAGAAGGCTCTTAGTCGGTTAACCAAGGGAGTTGGTTAGCTAAAATCCAAAAGTGAAGATCCAAGGTGAAGGTAGCCAAATTTGTGAAGAACAATTCAAAAAGTCTCTAGTGACTAACATATCTTATGGCTATTTACAAGCAATGGAAGATTAGCATTAACAAGCTAAGAGAAGAAATAGTTAAATAAAGAAAAATTGGTGAAGCTGGTTATTCTACAAGCAATAAGCTTTTAATCGGTTAAAGTTTTTCTTAACTAATTAACGGAGTAAAGTAGATTGGGAGACAGAGAAGACTTAACTAACTAAGAAGTATGGTTAGCCAGCTAAAAGCTCACTATTAGAAAATTTGAATTTGAATGTTTACAGAAAAACTAACGGCTAGAAAGGATTTTAAATTGTTTCCAATGGTCTGAAGTTGTCAAACATCCATCAGAGTTAATTTTTCAAATATAAAAAACATCTCCAATGGCTAAAAAGAGTATGAGATGCTTCTAAGAACCAAAAAGAATCAAGAATTGAAAAAAATCCTTTCGCTCTTCCTTTTTGTATTTCACTCAAATATTTGTAATAGAGTTTAGAACCTCATCTTGTACTATTCAAATCAAGTTAGTGATCATAGGTATATCTTCATATCCGTATTCCTTGATTACTTAGAGTATGCGAGGTACTGTAAGGGATTTGATCAAGCTTGGGATAGCTTGGTTGTTGTTCTAGGTTCTAACTTAGCTTTAGAAAAGTTAGTTTGGGTTTTGGTTGATCTTAGAAAAAACCATTGTTAAAGGTTGTAGCTAAACTTGTGCAAAACCATTGTAAAAGCTTAGTGGAAGCTTGTGAATTCCACTGAATTCAATGAAGTAATTTGGAAATCCTTGATTGAGATATCAAAGTAGTAGATGTAGGTCAGAGGGATCAAACCACTATAAATCGTTTTGTTTTGTTTACTTTCCTTTATTCTTTTCTCATTCTTGACACTTAAATCATTCTTCCAACAAGCTTTAAACTTCCACTTTCAAATTCCCTTAATTAGCTCTTAACTTAGAAAAAATTTTCTTATCATTCGGAAAGTGCTATTCACCCCCCTTTAGTACATTCTTTGGACCAACAATTTATCAGTCATGTAAATACTCCCTAGACTTGAGATACCAAGTTATCTTATATATAGAGTGCTATGTTTTAATTTCATCCTTATGGTGCCTAACCAAGAATGCCTAACTAGGATGTTTTTGAGTATAGTATGCAGCATGTGAAACCAAATAAGTGGTCAAAATAGGAATCATTACCTTAAGTGTTTTAGAGGACATATCTTATTAATTCTTGATTAACGTTAGCTTATTAAAGTCCTTGGCCAAGACAACTTGGAGATTATAAAAAGGTTTCATAAGTTTCTATAAACCTAATGCTCTAACTATAGAAACAAATATGGAGGTCAATAATAGTATACGTTGTACCAAGCTTTTATTATCTCTAGGATATATGATGAGGGAATGAATTATATTGATGGTTTGTACATTAAAAGGTTGTCCAAAAACCCTTTGACTCACCTAACAATTGGTTGGCCATGATACATTGGTAGGTGCCAATCTTGATCTATGGAATTAATTATAAATTAATTGATTGAAATTTAT